TGAGTGCCTCCACACCTGTCAGGCCAAGCTGGTGGCTGGTTCCTGAGGTCTCTCCTCTTGTGCCATCGTTAGTAGATCGGTGTGGATCGTCAACAAGCACCGCGCAGTCCCGAGTCTGCCTGCACCCGTGTGAGGGATGGAGGGCAGAACCCATCAGGGCACGTCTGGGGTTATTTTGAGGTCATGGCAAACATCTCCCAGGAGTTCGGCAGGCTTTGGGGACTGGACAGTGTAATGCAAAGCTTTTTTGAAGCTCGTTTACTATTACTGCTCTCAAGCACCCAGAACTTAAAGCTTTAGGGACTGGCAGCTACTGCCAAATACATTATAATAAAGCAACTAAAGTTTTGTTATTTGTCTCTCCCACAAAGGTTGGTGGCATTTAGACATTTCATAAGCTTTCCATATGGCGTTACTGCTTGTTTTTCAACTCTTCACTATTTTCATCTTGAATACAGCTCGAGATAGTCTTTGTAGGGTTTTTTTTTCTCCTGTTCCTTTAGCAGCAGTTTGCACTCTCTCCCTTGTTGAAATACGTGCAGAATGTGAGCTACCTCCTCACTTTTCTTAGAGGCAGCTCACGTTAACACAGGCCAGTTGCAATTTCTCTGTCGTTTTCCTATCATCAGCCTCACACCCGAACCGTCCACCTGCCTGCTCCTCCACAAAACCATCCAGCAGGACAAGTTATGAAGAAAAGAGGCAGGGAGAAGAAAAGCAATGAGAAGGTGATACTCTCTATGAAAAATACCTTCTGTGTTATAGCTTTAAAGCAGGGGCTTTAGAAAGGATCTTTACATCAACCTTTGAATGGAAAAATAATTTAAATATGTGAACAGATGGGCTGCAGGGGTAAAGCAGGAAGGGTTCGCTGCTGTCTGTTCCTCAAAATAAGTTCAACATACAGCATAGCTTTGTTAAAACATCAAAACTAGTCCAGTCCTTCTTTGGGAGCTGGTTTTCTGAAGAATACATGGCAGAACTGATCTGCACTTCTGAAGGGCACTTCGTACTGCAACAGATAGGAAATACGATTACACTGGGAAGGATAGGGATTACTCCATGAATTGTAAAGATAAGGGAATCAAAGAGATGAAAGGTGATCTGCTGCAGAGCTTCTAGTAGGCTTTTCAAGCATTCGTCTGGGACTACTCTTGTTAAATATCTCTATTGATGGCCTGGACACAAACTGTAGAAGGTGTTACAGAAATTTGCTGATAACACAAAATTAGAGACGAACAAAGAGGAACAGAAGGGAGGAACCAAGAGCATGTGCAGTGGAAGGGACATGAATATCTGTAGCACAAAGTACTAGGAACTATAATTCTGGTAGAAAGAGGACAAAGAGTGTTGCTATTGCACGAAGTCCATACAGGGACTTACAAGAAAAGCGACCATTTGATCACCTGCTTTAAAAGGAAGATGAACCAAGACCAGGCAGGGGAGTGCTCAACACCAGGATGATCAAATGGAAAGCCAACAGAGGCCCCATGAGCTTGGCTAGTTCAACCTTACCAAACACGTGTCGGTAAGTCATGGTTACTCATACACTTGGACGAACGGTAGCGTCGTGGAGAGAAAAGACTTAAGCTTGGTGGTAATGCCAAGAACGCATTTGTGTACAATGAACATCATAAATTAAGTTTACACTCCGAAAGAGATTCCTAGCCAAGAAAACGAAGTTACGACAGCCTCCCAGGTGTAGCATACCTGTTGATTTCAAGACTGACTGATATGCATGACTTCATACAACTGGCTGCCTGCAAAGAGTAGTCTGAATGCAGGGAAGCAAGGCAAACCTTCTGGACCTGTGTTCCTCTGCGCAGAGGCTTCCACAAGTTTGGCACACAACCCATGCTCCTTGTTATCCACACAGCTTCTTTATTTGTTGACCCTTATTTTTGCCTCCCTCTGAGTTCCACCTGAAATCAGCTGAAATAGACTTCCAGCAATCTCAGTAAAAAAAAAATTACTGATAGTGTAGAAGCAGTTTGGTTTCAAAAAAAGCACAAATGAATCTTGCTGCTTGCCCATTCTCTGATTGCTATCACCAGATGTCATTCATTCACAGCAAGGAATATTAGCAAAAAAAGTCAGGATGGTAGCCTATGAAGAGGAACCTTATTTCACACATCAGAGCTTGTAAGACAACTTGAATCAATTATGTCCCAGTTGTTTTTAGCCTAAAAAGAAGGAAGAAACAAGATATCTTAATTACTGTTTGTCCTTTCGTAACATCAGTCTTGTCACCATAGGGTGGAGATAGTTACTCACACAGAATGTGCTTCTAAACAACGGCAGTTCAGGTATTTCAGGATATTTCTGTAGTCAATCCTGAAATTAAACCTCAAGGAATGTTTCAATTCTTCAGCCCTTGGGCTTTGCAGTTGTGATTGGTGATCTAAAACCACACATCATGCTATTCATTAGCTAGACTGTTATCAATATGCCTCATTCAATCAGCCCTTCCATCTTCTACCCTTATTTCAATTCAGATCAAGTTCCAGGCAGTAGCCAAATTCTTGTGGAAAAGTTTGTATTCAAACAACAAGCAAGTGAGCAAAAAACCAGAGCTCGTACACTACTGCAGCGCCCCAGATACGTATCAGCTACAGGCCTCGCCTGCACTGCCAGCATTTTTAGCTGATTTCCACCTGATATTTAGCAGACTCAAATTTCGACATGTGAAAACCAAACGAGAGTCTAATATTGCAGGTAGAGGAGTCAGGTACAGAAACTATTGAAATGCTGATATGAAGCTTTAAGCACTAATTTGTTAGAACAAAAGGTTAGGTATGCTTTTATTAACACAAACCCTTTCGAAATAAACTTTACCACATTCCACACACCCTTATCAATTAATGTGACCAACCAGGTCTGGTTGTCATTACTGCCTCTCTTACCATCTGTCAGCCAGGTTTGTGTCATTTCCTGGCTTTGTTCATGTTGTCCCTCTTTTCTTATTATCCACTTCTGCATCTAAAAGGTTCTTAACCAGAAACGGTTCAAGGAGCAGCAGCCCTCTCCTTCCACATACCATTGCAAACATTCCTATTTTTTCTTGAAATTCACTGTAAATGTCGCTACTCTTTTACCTGTCTAAAGAGCACAAAGCGACATCTTGGCATTGGAAAAAAATTATCACAGAATCCCAGAGTGGTTTGGGTGGGCAGGGACCTCCCAGCCCACCCAGTGCCACCTCTGCCATGGGCAGGGACACCCTCCCCTAGCCCAGGTTGCCCAAAGCCCCATCCAACCTGGCCTTGACCACTGCCAGGGAGCCAGGGGCAGACACAGCGTCTCAGAG